AAAGCAAGGAACTGCAAGTCAAGCAAAAGAGCCCCAGACAATGAAGAAGAGGCCGATTGAGGAACCAAGGAAAGCCTCCCGCCAAGGCCCACAGGGGGAGCCACCAGTATAGGAAGAGAGGGGAACCCCCCCTCCCTTCGAGCACTGGGGGTGTTACCTAGTTGGCCCACGAAGCGTCAGAGAGCCCCAGGGACCCCCATCCTTGGCTCCCCCTGACCTCTGATTGTCTTGTAGATGCCAGCAAATGTGGAGATCAAGGCCCGGGTGCAGGATCTGGCCCAGCTGATCCGCAGGGTGGAGCAGCTGAGTGGATCCCCAGGCTCCCTCATCCTTCAGACGGACACCTTCTTTCCTGTTCCCCACGGGCGGCTGAAGGTTCGCGACTTCAGAGTGAGTAACCCAGTAACTGAGCGGGATGGGGGGGGGGGCTCATCTTGCTCCCCCCCCCCTTTGCCCCTCGAGGGAGCCTCTCCAGCTCTTCCTTCCAGGATGGGCCCATGAAAGGGCAGTTCCTGTTTCAGGACATTCTTCCTCCAGGCAGCTTAGTGGGACAGACCCTCCTCCTCCCCCCCTTCGGAGGATGAGCGAGACCCCTTCATCTTCATCACTCCCCAAATTCAAAGAAATCTGCTAAGCGGTTTCCCGCCAGGCCTTCCAGTCCGTTTTATGCCTGCATTTTCTCTGCTGCTGCTGCTGCTCAGGGAGGCCCCCCAGGGCTGCCTTTCAGAAAATCAGAAGAATCTGCTTATTTTGCTCTGTAGGTCTGACCCTGATCCCTTTACCAGGTGAGGCTGACTCTGGACCCACCTTTTCTCTGCAGGATGGCCACGGAGAGCTGGTGTTTTATGACCGGCCGAACACAACAGCCCCTAAGTTCTCTCATTTCACCACCTCTCCCACCGATGACCCCGGAGGACTCGTGGTAACTTCGCCCGGTGGACGGGGAAGGGCTGCTTGCTGTGGGAATGGCTGTGTGAGGGGCTGGTTTGGGGAGGGGGGGCAAGGCTTTGGAAATCGAATCAAATCCAAATCCAAAGCTCAGAACGGTCATTCTGGAGGGGAGCAGGACCCATCTCTGCTTCCAGCATCCACATGAATGTTTGAGGCTGTCAGACCTGCCCCCCCCCCCCCCCAGTCCCTGTGGGGGAAAAAACCCCTTGACTCCATGAGGCTGAAGCAAAGGGCTCTTTTACTAAAGGAAGTCAGGCTGGATCTCCGGGTTCCCTGCGTGAAAAGATACAGCAAAGTTTCCCTCCTTCCCTCCCCCTATGACCAGCCCACATCTGGCTAATTGCAGCTGTCTAGGATGTTCTGAGAAGTTTTGGGGCAATTCCTGTTCCTTCTCAGGGCGCGTGGCCTTGGTGCCCGCTGGTACAAACTGGTTCCGGGCCTCTGTGGTCACCGGTTATCAGCTGCTCCCCCCCTTTCCCATTATACAGTGGTTGCCCATTTGTCCCCTCCCCCATCCAGCCTTTGACGGGAGGATGCTGGACCCAGCAGACCTGCAGCTTGGAAGTGCCCAGTTCCCATGCGAGGCCGGATCAGAAGGTCATCTTGTGTGAGACTCTGTCCCTCCTGGAGATGGTCAGAGGAAGCTGGGTCAGCCCAGGCAGGTCCTCGTCTGTGCTGGCCACTTTCCTCCGGGGCCGTCCACGCGTTTCCGGGACGTGCATCCGATTTCCTCTCCTGCCCTGGTGCTCTTCCAAGGCTGCCTCTTCCTCTTCATCTCCCATTGGCCACGCAGGTTCTTCGTCATGCAGGTTGTCCCAAAGGGGCTTTT